AAGCCCTTATAACTGCCAATATGTATTCTTAAATTTCCACTGCACATTGATTATTTAATTTCTTTCTTAATTAATGTTCCAAAAAAAGAGGGTGACTAGTTTGCCCTCTAACATCTCTATCTCTATTTTACAGAAGCATAAGTAAAAGTTGTAGTTTTATAACTGCTTCTGTCAACCTCTAAGCACTCTAGTATTTTCTCCTATCAATCAGAAGGTTTCTTCTCATGTTGCTAATGTCACCCCCCACACCCTTCACAAATTCTTAGCAGGAGATGCTGGGTCAAATTCCTAATTGACATTTTAGCCTAACAACCAGCAATTTTTCCTCTCTGCTTTTTATATAGTCTGCTTTAAATTTTTTTTAAATATATTTTTTAGTTGTAGATAGACAATAATACCTTTATTTTATTTATTTTTATGTGGTACTGAGGATTGAACCCAGTGCCTCACTCAAGTGCTGTACCAGCTACAACCCCAGCCCTGTCCTTTTTTTTTTTTTTTTTTTTTTTAAGGTTCCAGGGTTTGAACTCAGGGGCTCTCAACCACTGAGCCACATCCCCAGCCCTATTTTTTGTATTTTATTTACAGACAGGATCTCACTGAATTGCTTAGTGCCTCGCTTTTGCTGAGGCTGGCTTTGAACTCGTGATCCTCCTGCCTCAGCCACTCAAACCACTGGAATTATAGGCATGCTCCACCAAGCCTGGCTTGCCCATGATGTTTTAAGTAGCTGATATCGTCAGATTATCTACCCATATTACAAATATAGAAATAGAGCTGGGGTTGTAGCTCAGTAGAGTGCTTGCCTAGCACGTGCAAGGCTCTGGGTTTGATCCTCAGCACCACATATAAAAATAATTAAATAAAGATAATGTGTCAAACTACAACTAAATAATAAATATTAAAAAAAATACAGAAATAGAGGTCGGTTAGGTGACTTTTGATCATCACACACAGCTAGTAAATAGCAAAGTGAGTCTAACTCTTCAGAGTACGAATCCAGAGTTGTTTTTCTTCCAGTTACAAATTTAAACATATATTAGAACAAAACTTTTTTTTTTCCTGGTGGATTAAACTCAAGGGTGATTAACCACTGAGCCACATCCCTAGCAATTTTAATTTTTTATTTACTTATCTTTTTTGAGACAGGGTATCACTAGGTTCTTACAGCCTTGCTAAGTTGCTGAGGCTGGCTTTGAACCTGTGATCCTTCTGCCTCAGCTTCCTGAGCAGCTGGGATTACAGGTGTTGGTCACCACTGCTGCTTAGAATAAAAATTTTTTAAATGGCTTTTTTTTTTAAATCCCTGGGTAGGCACAAATTAAATTACTTTTTAAAAAAACCTTTTTTTTTTTTTTTCTAGCAGAAATCTAATTTTTTAAAAATTAGGCAAGGGCTAATAATGTTGCTCAATGGTGGAACATGTGCTTAATCTGAGGTGTATTCCTTTTCTTTGGGGTACTAGGCCCGGGGGCTTGATGGAAACATGAGGTAGGCTTCCTTACAAAAGACCATAGCAACACTCTTTTGGGTGATGAACTGGTAACGGGTTTGTGTTCTTTCAGGCAGGCCATCATTCTTGCTCAAGAAGCCACAGGCCACTTCCAGGAGTCTGAACTCTTTAGTTATGCAGACCCAGAGGAGTCAGAGGAGACCAGGTTTCTAAATCTCTTAGGAGTTATCTTCAAAGGTTATCCTTTTTCTTCTTCATTCAACAAACAAACAATCCAACTAGTATGTATTGAGCATTTACTTTATGACAGATACTGTCCTGGCTAACAGAATCTGGTGCCTAAAAGAGGCCAGAGGGGAGTTGGCAAGGCTTCTGCTCTGGAATGGGAATAGCCTTGTTGCAGGGTGACTATCCAGGAATCTTTTTTTGAGAAATGAACCACCAAAATATCTTAGGTTTTATTTATTTTAAATAGTTGAGACAAGTTATTTATTTTATTCTTTTTTTTGGGGGGGGGGTATACCAGGGTTTGAACTCAGGGGCACTCAGCTACTGAGCCATATCCCCAGTCCTATTAGAGAGAGGGTCTCACTGAGTTGCTTAGCGCCTCACCATTGCTGAGGCTGGCTTTGAACTCATAATCCTTCTGTCTCAGCCTCCCAAACCACTGGGATTACAGGCGTATACCACTGCGCCCAGCTTAGAATAGGTTTTAATTTCATACCTTCACATTGTGGGGAAAAAAAATCCAGGGATGGTGATAGCTGTTGGATTCCCCATATTCCCTTAAAAACTGTCCTGTACTTCTCTAACTCTAGGCCCAGTAGCTTCCACAAAGAACAATTCCCAGGAGTCTGATAAGAATGTGGTTCTAGGACAAACTAACTGTAAAGACACTCCCAGTGTATCAGAACCTATGAGATCTGAGCAGAATGATGAGTTGGTGAAGCAGGAGATGCTGGTGCAATATCTGCAGGATGCTTACAGCTTTTCCAGGAAGATTACAGAGGCCATTGGCATCATCAGCAAGATGATGTATGAAAACACGACTACAGGTAGGCCAGGGTCTCATACAGAAAGGACTGCCTCTTCAAATTGGAAACTTGTCCCATCTATATTTTATTGAATTCTCCCTGCTCCTTTAAATGACAACTGTTCTTTCCTTCCATTTGCTTTGTACAGCTTATATATCTTAATATATATAGAATTTTGTGATAAAGCATTATAAGAGAAGTTGACATTCTCCAGGAAAATGAGGAAGATCTCCACTTGGATGTTACTATATTAAGAAGAGTTTTTTCTGTATATTGGAGGAGTTTTGTCAAGTAGATGGGTGACATTTGTATCTGTCCTTTCAGTGGTACAGGAGATAATAGAATTCTTTGTGATGGTATTCCAATTTGGGGTACCCCAGGCCCTGTTTGGGGTACGCCGCATGCTGCCACTCATCTGGTCTAAGGAGCCTGGTGTCCGGGAAGCTGTACTTAATGCCTACCGCCAAATCTACCTCAAACCCAAAGGGGATTCTACCAGGTACATGGACTTCTTTTGTCTTTCTGAGGTTACCTTCTCACAGGATTTTTCTAGTCTGCTAAAGTTAGAGGGCCATCCTTCCCCCACAGGAGTTTCAAATCCATACGCAGATTTTTTTTTTTTTTTTTGCATGTTTAGTAGATTTATAATAGAGTTCATTTCCAGTGAAGCCTATCCTAAACAATTATTTGACAATATGATAGGAAAATCCTAATAACCTATCTGCCAAGTTCAACTCACCAGTCTTTCAATGACACCAATCTCTACTGTTCCCACAGAGCCAAGGCCCAGGCTTTGATTCAGAATCTCTCTTTGTTGCTAGTGGATGCCTCCGTTGGGACCATTCAGTGTCTTGAGGAAATTGTAAGTCATCTCACTTTCTCTCTTTTTATTCATTCAACAAATATTAGCAAATATGTGTTCAGCAGTTTACTCGGCCCATAAAGAAGTGTAAGATTATTAACTTTGACATTTTCAACTGTAAAAGAAACAATAATCTAGTTGATAGTCAAAAACACAAAACATTTTTAGAATAATGCAGCAAGTTGATAATTGTTATGATAAGTGACAATGATTAAAATAGCAGGTAATGATTAAAATAGCAATAATAATAAAATAACAACACTTAAATGATATTTCATGTTCCACAACTCTGTAAGGAAGTTTTCTTTGTTTTTTTAAATGAGAAATCTGTGAGTCTTAGTAGGAGGTTAAGGAACTTGGCTAGTTACAGCTAGTTAGTGACAGGCTATGAGAACTCCAGAAAACATACTTAACTTCTGTGCTGTTCATGGATCCACATGGAACTTGGAAAAAATCAGTGGTGATGTATCACTTTAACAAGTGTAGTTTTGAAGGCATGAGGAATATGGAGTGGGAATGAGAGCTGTTTGTGGTAGAATGGTCAAGGGAAGCTGTGAAAAGGTAATAGGACTTAAGTTAGGTCTTGAAGGAGAAGTAGAATATAAAGAGTTAGAGACTAGAGGGAAAGCATGTCAGATAGAAACCCAAGGAGACAAGCTGTGTTGTAGAATAAGGAATATTGTATTCTGGCTCAAAATTATCTAGAACAGAAGGTAAAATTGGGAATGTAGTTTGAAACTAAATTGTGAAGGTCCTGAATACCTTTCAAAGTCTAGGATTTCATGTTAGGCAAGGACCCCAGCATTTTAATGAGGCAAACCTCCTATGAAATATTTGCATTGTGGAAACAAACAGTGAAGGTAGTACTGACCTCTAGCTTCCACTGGGAGCAGCACTGCTGCCTGTTATATTTTTCTCTTCCCTGGGAGCTACCCTGGTGGTGGCAAGTGGCCTGAGATCTCCCAGGCTGGTAAGTAGTCAGGAGACTGTGTGGTAGGCAGAGTGCTGATTCAAAGTAATAAATAATAGAACTGTGACAGGAGGAAACAGATGTTTGGTGAGACTGACCCAGCAACCACATACAAGGTGGTTGGAGAGGGGTTAGGTACAGTACAGGAAGGTTACTGGAGGCTACTATAGGTGTACAAGGGGTAAGACTCTGACCTGGAGGAATAGCTACAGAATTGGACATACCAGAAGACAAATATTAAAGGAAAGATAGGTAGGACTAATTCATAAAATTCGGTGACTGAAATTTTAAGTATGTGTAATTAAGAGAGAATTGGTACTATTGGCAAAATGAAGAGGCAGGAAAGAATGATAGCTTACATTTTATACAGGCTGAGTTTGTGGCAATAGCAAGAAAACCTAGAAATCTCTAGAATGTAGTCAGAACTATGGATCCACATGGAACTTGGAAAAAATCAGTGCTGATGTATCACTTTAACAAGTGTAGTTTTGAAGGCATGAGTATAGAAAATTGATACAAAAGCACCTATTTTACATATTGAGTATCCTTCTTCCTTTTCCATTCCAAAATATTGGTTTTACCCACTTAAGGTTCTCAGTCTTATCTTCAGAGAAGTGGGCCAAAGGGATTTGTTTTTTGGCCTGAGCCTTCTTTCTTCTCTCCTCAGCTCTGTGAGTTTGTGCAGAAGGATGAGTTGAAACCTGCAGTGATCCAACTGCTATGGGAGCGGGCTACTGAGAAGGTCCCCTGCTCTGCTCTGGAGCGCTGTTCCTCAGTCATGCTTCTTGGCATGATGGCACGGTGAGGCCCAGCTCTAGTAAGCAGTAGGGTGGGAGAGAAAAGAAAGGTTCTGAGAAGGTTCCTTCTCCTTTGGTAGTAGCAATCAGACGCAGCTGAGCTCTGCTGGGAGTTGGCTACCTAAATCCTTCTGTCTAGTAAAAATAGATTCACTAGAACCAGAGGGATCCAAGGGGTCAGCCCTGTGTCAGCCTCACTAGTTCCAAGGCTCTGGAAACCCCATGCTGGGCGCTGGTGCCTACCTATTGGCATTGTCCCCCAGAGTCTTGTCCAAGACTACCTTTAACTTTTATGGCTTCCTTCCCCTAGAGGAAAACCAGAAATTGTGGGAAGCAACTTAGACACGCTGGTGAGCATAGGGCTGGATGAGAAGTTCCCACAGGACTATAGGCTGGCCCAGCAGGTGTGCCTTACCATCGCGAACATTTCTGATAGGAGAAAGGTATGTGGAGTGGTTATGCCGAACTAAGGAAAGTAGAGATCCTCTTTTACATCCTCTATACACACTTGCACTCTGTTTTCCTTGTTTCCACAGCCTTCTCTGGGCAAACGTCACCCTCCCTTCCGACTGCCTCATGAACATAGGTTGTTTGAGCGACTTCAGGAGATGGTTACTAAAGGTGAGCTATCCAGAAGGGCTTTGGCAAAACTGGGAACCTTTGTCTACAGTGAACAGCTTGTCCCTTCTCTGATTTAGGCTTTGCCCACCCAGACCCACTCTGGATCCCATTCAAAGAGGTAGCAGTAACCCTCACTTACCAACTGGCAGAGGGCCCTGAGGTGATCTGTGCCCAGATGTTGCAGGGCTGTGCAAAGCAGGCCCTAGAGAAGCTGGAGGAAAAGAGCACCAGTCAGGAGGATCCCAGTAAGTGGGCAGAGATTTGCTGGGCCTTGGGGTGGGCCACCAGCTTCTGCTCTTTTCCCTACAGGGCCAAAAGCTACTGCTACCACCCCTTTCTACAACCTCTCAGTCCACAATGTCTCGTTTTTGTCCAAATTGAAGTTGAAACAATAAGTTTGATGGAATTTGACCATATCTTTTTCCCTGCCTTTTCCTCTCCCTTCCTCTAGAGGAAACTGTTCCAATGCTCCCCACTTTTCTATTGATGAACCTGCTGTCACTGGCTGGGGATGTGGCCCTGCAGCAGTTGGTACATTTGGAACAGGCCGTGAGTGGAGAGCTCTGTAGGCGCCGAGTTCTTCGGGAAGAACAGGAACACAAATCCAAAGACCCCAAGGAGAAGGTAAGCGAGCACCTAGGTGATGAGTTCCTGTCCCCAGCATTTCCTGAGTTATTTCATGACCTTGGGTCAGAACATTTCCTTCTGGGGATCTCTGCTTCTCTATTAAGTGAAGATTCTCTGCCTCTTTGTTGCTAATAACCTGGGAAAGATTAGTGTAAACAAAGGTTGAACAGTCTGTCTGTGCACACCAGGAAGGAAGAGTATTAGATAAATACAGACTACAGAGCTAGGCAACTCAGCATAAGATTTAGGCTCTACCTGAGGCAATGTTTGTTAGAACATCATGAACCCAACCCCCTGCCCATCAGCTTTCACTACTGGCCTAGCACATAGGAGGACCTCATGTCTTTTCCACTAAAGGCAGCTTTTTTTGCGAACAAATAAGACTGCCTTAGAACAGTCTGACCTTCTCTTTGACCTTGAACCATTGTTTGGCATGATCCATTTGTTTTCCATATACAATAACTACATCTTCTGTGAGAATTAATTAAGAAAAAGTATAGAAATCTGATTAACAGCTTAAAAACAAATTCAGAGGACCTAGTTTTTTCCTTATTTAAGAATTCTTGGAGCTGGGGTTGTGGCTCAAGTGGTAGAGTGCTCGCTTAGCACCTGTGAGGCACTAGGTTCGATCCTCAGCACCACATAAAAATAAGATAAAGATATTGTATCCACCTAAAACTAAAAAATAAACAAACAAAGAAATAGAATTTTTTCTCAGCCAGGCATGGTGGCGCATGCCTGTAATCCCAGTCACTTAGGAGGCTAAGGCAGGAGGATCGTGAATTCAAAGCCAGCCTTAGCAGCTTAGGCAGTAAACAACTCAGCGAGACCCAGTCTCTAAATAAAATACAAAAAATAGGGCTGGGGATGTGGTTCAGTGGTTAAGTGTCCCTGTGTTCAATCCCCGATACAAAAAAAGAAAAGCTTTATCTTTACATACACAAACATTTGGCAATTCTATGAATGGTTTTGTAGACATCACCTTTCCTCAGATCTGTTCATGCAAAATGAAATGTTAACTATAATATGATGTCTTTGGTCACCCATGATCAGATCACCATGATCTTTCCCTTTAGAATTCAAGCTCTGAGACCACCATGGAGGAGGAGCTGGGATTGGTGGGTGCCACCGCTGATGATACAGAGGCAGAGTTAATCCGTAGCATCTGTGAGATGGAACTGTTGGACGGTAAGAAAAATTGCTAGGTGATCTCCCCAGTTAAGATAACCCATCCCTTGCCAGGCACCATGGCACATGCCTGTAAGCCCAGCAGCTCTGGAGGCTGAGACAGGAGGATCACAAGTTGAAAGCCAGCCTCAGCAACAGCAAGGCGCTAAGCAATTCAGTGAGATCCTGTGTTTAAATAAAATACAAAATAAGGCTGGGGATGTGGCTCAATGGTTGAGTGCCCCTGAGTTCAATCCCCAGTATCAAAAAATAATAAAAAATAACCCATCCGAAACATAGAGTATTCTTCCAACAGGCAAACAGATCCTGGCTGCCTTTGTTCCACTTTTGCTTAAAGTCTGCAACAACCCTGGTCTCTATGGCAATCCAGACCTTTCTGCAGCTGCTTCACTTGCCCTTGGCAAGTTCTGCATGATCAGGTAGGCCCTGAGTTGATACTGCCTCAAAGAGGATGGAGATGAGATGGCTTCTCTGATGTTCTTCTCCTTGCCACTAGCGCTACTTTCTGTGACTCCCAGCTTCGTCTTCTGTTCACCATGCTAGAAAAGTCTTCACTCCCCATTGTCCGGTCTAACCTCATGATTGCTACTGGGGATCTGGCCATCCGCTTTCCCAACTTGGTGGATCCTTGGACACCTCATCTATATGCTCGGTAAGAAATCTCTCACCTTTGAGTAGTCCCTGCTTGTTCCTGGAGTCCGATATGCTAGTGTGAGAGTCACTAAGACTGTATTTCCCTAGTCTTTGACATTACCTTCTACTTGATACTTAACCTGTACAGGCCCCTGGCTAAGTGTGACTCTAAGGGAATTGAGGCTTCAATGCAATGCTTTGGCTACAAGTTTTGCCTTTTGCCCTAACTACAGTTTTCAATTGTAGACAGCATTCTAACTGCTTCTAGCATGGCATTCTGAGGGTAATGGATCCCTGCTGAGAAGCTTTCCTACTGATTTTAGGGTATAGCTCAGAGGTCTGGGTCCCAATGACTTGAGATTTCATTCCTAGCCTCAGGGACCCAGCTCCACACGTGCGGAAGACAGCAGGCCTGGTGATGACACACTTGATCTTAAAGGACATGGTGAAAGTGAAGGGGCAGGTGAGCGAGATGGCTGTGCTACTCATTGACCGTGAGCCTCAGATTGCTGCCTTGGCCAAGAACTTCTTCAATGAGCTTTCTCACAAGGTGAGAAGTGGAGAGGCAACTTGGGGCTGCAGAGGGAGTATGTAGGTTACCTCATCCCTTTAGCACGATTCTTTCTCCTCTATAGGGCAACGCCATCTATAATCTCCTTCCAGATATCATCAGCCGCCTGTCAGACCCTGAGGGTGGAGTGGAGGAAGAGCCTTTCCACACCATCATGAAGTACTGTTCCATGGGCCTTGGAGCACATTTTTCACTAGCACATAGGCTTAGGAATCAGACATACTTAAATTTGAATTCCATTTCAGTTTTATTCATTCATTCATTTGGCAGCACTTGAGGATGAACCCATGGTCTCACATCCCTGGCCAGCCCTCAGCTACTGAGCTACACCTCTACCCTAGACCTGCTGCTTTTTAGCTGTATGACCTTCAGCAATAATTTGACTTCTCTCTATTTTCTCCTCCAAAAATTTCTCATAGTTCTTGAGAATATTGAATAATCTACTATTCTTAATATTGTGGAAGGCACATATTAGTACTCACAAATGACAACTTTTCTTGTTCATTTCTATTCACAATAAAAATTCCTGGGGGGTGGGTTCTCTTAATGTCTGGGAGAAGACAAGAGAAGCAGTGAGGCAATTAGAGGGCCATGACCAAGAACATTCTTCTATTGAGCAAAGACAGAGAAGTCTGGTGCTAGGTGAGGGTCCAGCATAGGTCTTAGAGGATGAGGTTGGAGGTGCTCTTGGCTGATCCCACATCCTCACTTCCCCTTCTGCAGGCAGCTTCTTTCCTACATCACCAAGGACAAGCAGACCGAGAGCTTGGTAGAGAAGCTATGTCAGCGGTTCCGCACAGCTCGGTACATTGCCTTTCCTGAAAGATCTTTTGTGTTGACAACAGCCACATGGGGGAAAGAACTCCCCAGTGATATACCTGGGACCAAGGGAGACCTATGAAGGATAACCCTTTGTGAGCTATTGCTCACAAAGCCTTTCCCATCTGCAGAACTGAGCGACAGTACCGGGACCTGGCCTACTGCATGTCACAGCTTCCCATCACAGAGCGAGGCCTACGCAAGATGATGGACAATTTTGACTGCTTTGGAGATAAATTGTCAGATGAGTCCATCTTCGGAGCTCTTTTGTCCATTGTGGGCAAATTGCGGCGAGGGGCCAAGCCAGAGGGCAAGGTAAGCAGCACAGTTTAATAGGGGTTGCTCTCCCTAGGCAGTGTTCTGAGGCTCTTGTGCTCACACTATTGTATGACTTATCCCCAGCTTCACTATAACTATGTTACCAAGGTGATTTGAGAATAGACTTTTTTTTAATTTTGTTTTATTTTTTTGAAACTAGGGATTGAATCCAAGGGCAATCTAGTACTGAGCTATATTCCCAATTATTTTTATTTTATTTTGACACACGGGCTTATTAATTTGCCCAGATTGGCCTCAAACTTGTGATCCTCCTGTCTCAGCCTACCAAGTCATTGGGGTTAAGGATGTATTACCACGATAGGTTAAGATCCAATCTTTCTGTCTTCAATTCTTCTTTTTCTTTCTTTTCTTCTTTTTTATAATAGACTTTCTTTTTTAGAGTAGTTTTAAATTCAAAGCAAAACTGAACAGTGAGTCAGAGTTCCCATATACCCATCTCCACACACACAACCTTTCCCCATTCTCAATTTCCTGCACCAGAGTGGTACATTTGTTACAGTCTATATTGACATAAATGAGTGTTGAATTAGTGACCACATTAACAGATCATCACCCAAAGTTCATAGTTTAGATTAGCATTACTAAATATAATGACACGTGCCCACTATTACATTAGAATAGTTTGCCCTGAACATTTCCTGTGTTCTATCTATTCCCCCTCCTCCCTCCCAATTCCTAGCAAGCACTGATCTTTTTATGTCCTCCATGGTTTTGCCTTTTCTAGAATGTCAAAAAGTTGGAGTCAAATAGCATGTAGCCTTTTCAAATTGACTTCTTTAGCTTGGCAGTAAAAATTTGCCATTTTTCCATATCTTTCATCGCTCTGTCTTTTCAATCATAGAATAACAATGTCTCCAGACTTGCTGTTTATCTCCTTTTTTCCTTGCCAGGCTATAATAGATGAATTTGAGCAGAAGCTTCGGGCCTATCACACCAAAGGATCAGATGGAATAGAGGAGCTTGAGATTGGCCAAGGAGGTAGCCAGAGAGCCCCATCAGCCAGGAACCAATCTTCTGGTATGGGACACAGCCTCACAGTGGGAAGCCCACAAGCAGCAGTTACCTTTCTTTTAATCACATCTCCTTGTCTTTTAGTCCCTAGGAAGCAGCGCTTGGCCTCTGCCTCCTCGGACAATGACTTTGTAACACCCAAGCCTCGGCGAACTACTCGCCAACTTCCAAAAACTCAGCAGCGCACTTCGAAAAAGAAACCCAAGGTTGTCTTTTCAAGCGATGAGTCCAGTGAGGAAGGTATGATGCCCCATCTTGGATGGCTACTTTTGATGGGATCCCTGTTGTAGGGCACAACTGAGTATAGATTATCTTTGCCCCACTGCCCCATGATGTCTTCCTCTCTGCAGTTTGGATTTATCTCTACAGTGTGGTGTGGAGCTGTCATATTTGTCCTCTGAGATCTATTTTTCACCATCTTTGTGATTCAGCTCTTTTTATTCCTCCAATCCTTTGAATAGAGCTTTCAGCAGAGATGACAGAAGATGAGACACCCAAGAAAACAACCCCCCTCCACAGAGCATCCACTCTCAGGCACAGATCCTAAGAAGTCAAATTACCTGTTCTCATCCCTGCTGTGCAGGGTATCCTCTGGGATGATCTTGAATTCCAGTTCTCTTATCTCTGTATAGTATTGTTTGCCTGTCACCTTGTTTTTTTTAATACATAAATGATCTTTAAAATTCAAGGCATTTCTCTAAACTAGCCTGCCTGAATTGGGTTGAGCTGCTTTCACTTTGCAATAGATGTTTGCCAGTCTCCTTGTTTCCTAATGAATAAATGCTTTTACATACTTTTTAGACATTTCTGTCCTAAACTTGTCTTTGTTTTTTTTTTTTTAAGTTGGACACAATACTTTTATTTTATTTATTTTTATGTGGTGCCGAGGATCGATCCCAGGGCCTCACATGGGCTAGGTGAGCACTCTATACCGCTGAGCCACAACCCCAACCCTTGTCTTTGTTTCATCTTTCACATTAACCCAGATTCAGGTAATCTGGTGCTGGTCTCCAAATCTCTGATAAGCTTCATGCTCCCCTTCACCAGTTTCACCTGCACAAGTGACAAGATGGCCCCACTGTGGAGAATTATGCAGTTTCTGGGCTCTAAATCAGTGCTTCTCAGCATGGGGCGTGGGGAACAACAGAAGTTTGATAATGCCTAGAGACTTTGTCACAGCCTGAGGGGAAATGCCAGCATCCAATGAGTAGAGACCAGGGATGTTGGTAAACATGGTACAGCCCAAAAGACAGATTTATTTATTTTTTTTTTTTCAGAGTAGAAATTAGAAGTTTATTAAAGGACAGCAGAAAAGACTTCTCCCGGAGGAAGAAGGGGACCCAAGAGGTGGAATCCCAAAGACAGATTTATTTGACCTAAAATGTCAATAGTGCTCAGGCTGAGAAACCCTGCTCTAGACTAAAGGTTGATTTCCTCCATATTCCCTGCCCTGCCCCATTCCCTTTCCCATCCCTGAAGACTAGCTACTGGCCTGGCCTGGTTGATCATGATCCCCTCCAGCTCTATAGAGACAAGGTGTGCCTACCAGGGGTTCCTTACTATGTTACCAGGTGTGCAGTTGGTCTAGCCCTTTAGGTGGAGGCCACACTATTCATGGTGTCCTTGAAGCCTGCCCATTCTTCTCTAGCTCCCCAAGTCTTATTTCTGCTGAGTCATCTGGAACCAGAGGCAGTGAGCCTGTTGTCATGACCACATTCCTGTCTTTGCTGTCATGACAACAGCACAGTGCACCAGTAGCACTCCACCGGCACTGAGCTCTCTACCTTTTTTGGGGTGGGGTGCAGGGAACAGTAATGAGAAATGACAAACATGAGGCAAAAGGGAAGATGATACTTCACAATCACACTTTGGACAGAAGCATGGAAGGACTCTGAGGCCTTTGGAGGGGAAAGGGTTAACGTTCCTTTGTGGGCCTCTGCTGGAAGGAAGCAGTCTCCTCAGGGGTGCTGTGGGCTGCTTCCCCCACCACTCAGGCACTGCAGCCTCCTCCCACCCCTCCTCATCCTGTGCCCACTTGGCCTGCTCTTGCTGCTCATGAAAAGCCTGGGCACTGGCCATGCAGGTGGCTGCCAGGCATGGACACAGCCTTGGCTCTGGGGCCTCAAGAAGGGAGGGCCCTCCCAGAAAGGCAAGGAGCTGGGGCTGGAGTCGGGGTGCAGCACTGCATGCTCCCTGCCTTTTAAGCAAAGGTTATCATTGGGCTAGCTAAACTTAGCCACAGGCTTTTAGCTAGAAGGGCAGGGGGCTGGTCTCAGATTTCGCTGGCCTAGCAAAGCCACCCTGGATCCCCCTGCCCTGCACCAGCTGATGAGCCGCGCCCATCCCACCCCACCCCCTTCCAGTCCTCATTCCTTCCAGCCTTACACAGTTCACAAACCTGGCCATGTCCAGGATCTCTACCCTTCTAAGAGAAAAATGGATTCCTATCATTCCCTCCCGTTTGTGGGAAGGGGCTAGGCACCTGTCCTACCACGTGCCTGAGACCCCTTCTCCCACACACCCCTACCTCTCTGGACTCACCCTGCCCCCAACATCCGCAGGGGCAGCCAGTGGAGGGAGTTCCTGCCTCCCTGGCCGGCCAGCACGTACTAAGATAGGGGAGGGACTTCCGCCCTCATGTTCTGCTCTTCTGCCCTGGGCTGCTGTGGGTGAAAGGAGCACTGTCTGCTAGTGTGGGTGGCGCAGCCCTCAGGTTCCCAGGAGCAGCTCTGTGGGAGGTCTCTGAGTCTCCTCCAGCCCTGCCCCAGTGATGCTGTCCTCCCCCTGGGGCCCCAACCCAGGCCTGGTGAGAGAAGCTGGTGCAGACAGAGACTGGTTTGTCTGCCCCAATTATCAGGTTTCCAGGCTGCCAGGGCCTCAGGACGTAGTGACCTTCTGTGCAGGAACCTCCCCCTCATCCTCCTCCCTCTCCAGGCCCCTACTGCCTTGTCCCCAGCCCAGGCCCCCAATCCAGAGAGGCCGCGAGCCAAGAGATGGGGAGGGGGAAGTGGAGCCTAGGAAGCCCCCCCACCCCCACCCCCACCCCCACCCCACAGGAGGCGCCTGCGCCCCTCCAGGGCCTTGTTTTCAGCTGTTCCTGTATCATTACCGAAGAGCCTAGAGAAGAAGATCCTCAATTTCCCGCCTCACAGCCTTTGAAAGAATGAGAAAGGGACAGCCGCGAGCACTCCCGAGCTCCGGCTTTAATTCCCCTCCCTACGAGTTCCCAAAGTCCTCCCGTTTCGACTGTGCCGCAACTTTAACATCCCTGACTCCTAGATATGCTCCGCGAGCACTAGAGCCAGCGTCCTCAAGTCCACTGTCATCTACATACCCTCAGTCCCATCCTGAGAATCAATCACAGGTCACCTCCCGAACGGGTCAATCTCAGTCCCTTCCCCCTCTCTGTCCGGAGCCCATACGTTCGGTGCGTGCATGTTTCAAGAACGGGGCGGGCCGATAAAAAAAAGCGGGGGGGGGGAAGAGGCCCGGCTACTCTTGGTTTTACGGGCGCACGTAGCTCAGGCCTCAGCGCCCTTTGGCAGCGACTGGGCCAGCGGGCGGGGGGCGGGGCTCGCGTCACCAGCTCCCACCCCCCACTCCGTTCCTATAAAGGGGGACTGCAACCTCCGCCGGCGCTCTCTGCTCCTCCCCGTTCGACAGGCAGCCACTTCTTCCCGTCTCGTGCAGTGCCAGGTGAAAACGAAAAGCAGCTACTAGCGGCTTGGGATGATCAGAACCCGGGAGAGGGAGTGTGTGCGGTCCAAGGTTTTAGCAGCTTTGATGTGGGGCGGAACCGAGCTGGGTCGGGTGGGGCCTCCGCATTGCAGGGGCAGGAGGACGTGAGGAGGCGCGATGTGGACATGGAGGCCCTGGGGGGAGGGGAGGGAGGGTCAGCGGCCCGGAACCTGGCGCCGCGTGGACTGCGCTGATGCTTTCCTTTCTTCCCCTCGCAGTCGCATCTCTGAGACACGATGGTGAAGGTCGGAGTGAACGGGTAAGTTAGAGGCTAGGCTAGGGTGGGGCCCCGGGCTGCAGCCGCCCCCACAGAAATTGCATCTGCAAGTCTGGCCGAGGCCAGGGGCTTTGAAATCGCGTGGCGAGGTGGGTGGGTAGCGCCCTCACCCCAAGGAGAGCTCAAGGTCAGCGCGCAGACCGAGTGTAGGCTCGGGCAGGGGCTCCTGTCCCCAGCTTGTAGCTGGGGAACCTTTACCTTTCCCTCCACCACCTCGGGCAAATGGGAGGCTTTCCTGTTCTCACTCGGGACCCATCCCCTAATCCCCTGGCTGGGGCTTCTTTTCTTTCCTTTCGCGCCCTGTGGGTCACGTGTCGGGGAAGAGCCCCTCCCCCCACGTCCTTCTCCCTCCCGCCTGCCACCCTGGGATGCTAGCTGCAAGGCTTGCGCATCATCAGTTTTACTTGTGGCCACCGGCCCGCCATGTTGCAACGGGGAAGGAAATGAATGAACCACCGTTAGGAAACCTTCCTTGGCTACTCTGTCCGCCCTTGCCTGTGACTAACCTCTCACTCCTCCCTTAGTAGGGTGGAGTCTCCTTTATCCGGTAAACCAGGTGATGCAAGGCTTTCCCCCTTTCTTGGCTCTCAAAAAGAACGGAGCCTCACAACGCAGCCCTCAAGCATCAAGCCAAATTTCTTCTCAGGCCTGATGCTGCTTCTAGACAATTCTCTGATGAATCAAAGAAGTGGGTTCATGGAGACCCTGTTGTCCTCCCTACCCCAGAGGTGTGGTAGCTATGGCTTAGTGCCACACTGGGGGAGCTGAGTCACCGTGGTTAGAAAAGAAAATTTACACCACAAAATGGCTCCCATAGCAGCAGCCCCTTCCCTTGCACTGGCTCAGCGCTCATTCTCACCGCCTTTTTTGCTCTGGCAGCCTAGCTGCTACCCTAACCCTAAAGGCCACTATAAAGGTCACTGGGGGGTATTAGGTGTCTGTGGGTCTTGAGAATCCTGCCCTTCTTCCCATTCCATCTTCCAGAAACTAGATCTCCCCACTCCACCCTGATCTGAAGTTAAATATAGCTGCCTGACCTTTCTGTAGGTAGGAGCCTGGGCTTCTGCTCTCCTCCACCCCCTTCCACTACCCACACATCTGTTGCTCCCACTGCTGATTTTAGCTACGAAGGGCAGGTAGTTTAGCAAATTAGAGACTTGGGATTAGAGTGCTGAAGACCAACTGGTTTTCTCCATATCTTTACCTTAACCTCGCCCTTTTGTAGGAGGGACTTGGAGAAGGGGTGGACTTATACCGTGTCCAGTTAGATTCTGTCTGACCTTTACTCTTGCCCTTTGAGCTTGGTGATGCTGAGTATAAAAGTCTTTTCTGCACAGAGGGTGTAGCCTGAATCCAGGCCAGGCAGAAATAAGCCTTCCCAGGGAATGGGAAGCCGGAATGATAAATACCATGTGCCAAGCTTGTGGCCATGCTGTGGGTGGCATTGTCCTACATTAGTACTTCTTGAAGGATTTGAGATGACTGGGGGGTGGGCAAGTCTTCAAGCCTAGTTATCTCCTGGGCAGGAAAGGAGCCTTCACTTTATGACCATGCTGGAAAACCAGATCAGCCTGGCAGACTTGCTCAAGGAAGATAAAATTAGACGTCTTAGTATTTGGGGGGATGGGGGATGGAATTATGTACAGTTGGCTGCTCATGTCTGAGGGTTCCACATCAACCAACTTGATGGAAAAGAACGCAGGGGAAATAATTAGATAAAAGTTCCAAAGAACAAAACTTGAAATTCCTGTCTACTGAGTACTATACTGAATCCACATAAATGAAATTATGTGTAGGTATTGTTCAGGTATTAAAAGTTAACCTAGGGGTGATTTAAAGTATGTAGGAGGATTGCAGATTATATGCAAATACTGCATCATTCTATGTAAAGGATTTGAGCATCCACAGATCTTGATATGGGGGGAGGATCCTTTTCCAGAATCAATTCCCCATACATACCTACGGATAACTATTTTTTCTGGAAGAGGATGAATCAGCATATCTATTCCCTATCCACAATAATTCCCTACTCATACTTTCTTGCTTCTCACCTCAGATTTGGCCGTATTGGGCGCCTGGTCACCAGGGCTGCTTTCAACTCTGGCAAAGTGGATATTGTCGCTATCAATGACCCCTTCATTGACCTCAACTACATGGTGGGTGCTGCCCTTGCAGGTGGTGGGAGGAGCAGCGTACTTAAGGCAACTGTATTAATGCCCTCAACTTGTTCCCCAGGTCTACATGTTCCAGTACGATTCTACCCATGGTAAATTCCATGGCACAGTCAAGGCTGAGAACGGGAAGCTTGTTATCAATGGAAAGTCCATCTCCATCTTCCAGGAGTAAGTGTGGAAGACAAAACGAGATTATATTTTGTTTCCTTGCCTATTTTGCACAGAGCAGGATCAGGGGATTTTGCTTTGGGGATAGAGTACCTACCTCAGGTACATGGTACATCACATGCCTGAACTTCGTCCTATTACCTCTCTCCTAGGCGAGATCCCGCCAACATCAAATGGGGTGATGCTGGTGCTGAATATGTTGTGGAGTCCACTGGTGTCTTCACTACCATGGAGAAAGCCGGGGTAAGTGGATAGAAGGCTAAATAGGAGGAGAGTTGACCCTGAATTTGTAGCTAGAAGCAAGAGGGAATCCGACTTAACCAGGAAAAAAAAAAAAAAGCAGAACATACATTTGTAACCAACCCCTTCGATTATAGGCTCATTTGAAGGGTGGTGCCAAAAGGGTCATCATTTCTGCACCTTCTGCTGATGCCCCCATGTTTGTGATGGGCGTGAACCATGAGAAGTATGACAACTCCCTCAAGATTGTCAGGTAAGGACAGCAGAGGGCATTGGGGAAATGGCAGGCAGTGCTGAGAGTAAGGCTGTGTGCATGCCTTCCCTGACTTTTCCTCTCTTCCCAGCAATGCCTCCTGTACCACCAACTGCTTAGCCCCCCTGGCCAAGGTCATCCATGACAACTTTGGCATTGTGGAAGGACTCATGGTATGTAGATGGTGGGAAATGAGATCTGAGCTGATTAATTCTCACCCAGGGCTGGATCGCTGGATCCTTCTCCATACTTAGTTCCTGCTCCAGGACTAGGGGTTTTAAGGGACTGGCTCAAATCTATCCCTCAATCCCTCCCAAGGGGGAGGAAGGAGGCTGAGTGAGGGCTGGTGTGATGGATACTCGGAGGGGCCTCATTAGCGCTCCCATTTTTCCAGACCACAGTCCATGCCATCACTGCTACTCAGAAGACTGTGGATGGCCCCTCTGGGAAACTGTGGCGTGATGGCCGTGGGGCTGCCCAGAATATCATCCCTGCATCCACTGGTGCTGCCAAGGCTGTGGGCAAGGTCATCCCTGAACTGAATGGGTAAGGCTTTGCTGTACCTGGGGGAATAGAGGGGAGGGGGTCAGGAGCACCTGGAGCTGACAGTGCTTCCCCCTGTCTACAGGAAGCTCACTGGCATGGCTTTCCGTGTGCCCACTCCCAATGTGTCAGTTGTGGATCTGACCTGCCGCCTGGAGAAAGCTGTATGTTTGGGTTGGAAACGTGGTGGACTGAGATTTTGTCTGGTAAAACAGTGATTTTGGAAAATGAACATCCATCTTATTTTTACCTCATTAGGCCAAATACGATGACATCAAGAAGGTGGTGAAGCAGGCATCAGAGGGCCCCCTCAAGGGCATCTTGGGCTACACGGAGGACCAGGTACTGGTCTGATAGGACAGGGAATTGCCCTATTAAACAGAGGTGGATTCCCATACTTAACTCTCTTCCTTCCCCAGGTTGTCTCCTGCGACTTTAATAGTGATACCCACTCTTCCACTTTTGATGCTGGGGCCGGCATTGCCCTCAACGACCACTTTGTTAAGCTCATTTCCTGGTATGTAACCTGGGTGGGGGGAACACACCTGGTGGCTGGCTCAGAAATATGGCTCTTAACAACTTATTCACCTTCTAGGTATGATAATGAATTTGGCTACAGCAACAGGGTGGTGGACCTTATGGTCCACATGGCCTCCAAGGAGTAAGAGCCCCTGGACCACCTGCCCCAGCAAGAACACAGGAAGAGAGAGGCCCTCAGCTGCTGGGGAGTCCCTGCCCCTAACTCAGTCCCTCAACTCACTGAGAATCTCCCCCCTTCCCAATTTCCATCCTAGATCCCCTGAAGAAGGGGAGGGGCTTAGGGAGCCTTATTGTCACATACCATCAATAAAGTTCACTGCACCCAGCCACCTGTCTGTTCTGTGGTCAAGGGAATGAGAAGATGGGAATGTGTGTGGAGTGGGACCTGACCTTTATCCTTTGGGTTGGTGGGGGTGGGGAAGTGCCTGAGATTGAACTCAAGCACACATTCAACCACTGAGCCATATTCCCAGCCCTGTTTTGTATTTTATTTAGAAATTGAGTTGCTTAGCAGCCTCACTTTTCCTGAGGCTGGCTTTGAACTCCCAATCCTCCTATCTTAGCCCTCAGGGTCATAGCAATTACAGGTGCCAGCTATCCTTACTATTACATATATATGCCTTCCTCATTTACATTTTCCCTCTGGGTGCTACATGAAGCAAACTGAATATTGAAAGGCCCTTCACCTGCTACCTCTGTCACAAAGTTATTTTTACTTTTCTTTTTTTGGTGGTGCTGGGGATTGAACTTGGCCTTACCCATGCTAGGCACCCCCAGCCCTCAGTTATTCTTTCAGGTACCCTTAGGAAAGGTAATATTTATGTCAGGACTTTGGAGTTGTGTATATGAGCCTGACTGGTTGACAGGCTTGTGAAGTATGTAGTAGGCTGCATGGAGACTCCCGCATGCAATTCTAGTTCTTCCACTCATACCTTCATGTGTGAATAACTGCAAGATGAGGCTATGATTGCATCCTGCAGCTTAGGTCTTTAAATTAGGTAAGACTAAACATGATTAAAATGTCAGTAAAACAAGGTTTTACCTCTTCTAGCTTCTAGTAGGTAGTAGCACAGGCTGGGAGCTGGTGAACTAGCTCTGCCACTTGGAGGCTCTATTTGGGCAAGTTACTTGTAACTTCTGTACATCATTTTGTGAAATGGAGATGAAAAAACAATACAGAACTCAGATTCTATAGTTAAAAGGCTTGAATCGGTGACACAAAAGTGTTCAATAAATATTCTCCACTTTGATTATTATTAAAGACTCCATTCAAATGCCAGCACAGCCTCTGAGGTATTCAGAATTGAATCTCTCCACTTCTCAAGCTTTTCCAAGTCAGACATATCAGCCTGTTGGTTTTGGTGAATGAGACAAGGAAGAGCCACATCTTCAGCCAACACTTGAAACAGACCCTGAACGCAGGCACATAGACAGAGCTGCTTCACTTTTTTTTTTTTTTTTTCCTGTCACTCAGCAGAGACCAGGAGATAAGAGCTATCATCCTTCAGGGTAATTCACCCAGTCCAGGGCATAAAGGCCCCTTTAATGCACGGTGCCTCCCTCTGTGAGGGAAGGTTACAGTCACATACACTACAGTTGGCAGGTGGACAGCCATGAGAACATGGACAGCAGGACAGCATACCTATCCAGTACCACCTCCCTCTATCCATACCAGGAAGGGAAGTCCTGTCCAACTGCATGTGTTATACAATCCTTTAGGGAACTTCTAGCTGAATCCACTTCATACCAGTGCCTGGGCCAGTTAGCACCAGTACAAAATCAAAGACAGGGGGCTCTAGGTCCCAGAGTTGGAGGTCCCACATTCACATTCCTTACACAATAGAAAAGGTGAAAGGCCATGAGCACTCTTGGCCTTTTAAAGATGGGGAAGTAGCAGACACCACGCATGAAGGCAGGAGAGCCCCATTTGCAGTGGGAGCTGCCCAGGAAGGGCAGGGCCAAGCCTAGCCCCCGACATCCCAGAACTCTAGGGAGGCCAAGAACCAAGGGAGGAAGCCCGAGAGAGGAGCAACACAGGCCCCAGGGCCAGGTTTGGTGTGGTAGTACAAATGGTTTTCCCCTCCATGAACCCCCAGCTTTGGGCAGGATGGGGCACAGGGGAGCCAAGATGGAGGTGGTCCCTATCTCATGGAGCTATCAGATGAGACATCGCGATCGGAGTCCTCAGTCTCGCTTGGCGGTGGCGGCGGGTCGCTAAGCGGGACCGCAGTGAAAGCAGGAGACTTTCTAGAAGAAAACGCCAGTTGTTATCTTGGGGCAAACAGAAGGCCTGATGGGGCTGGCATGCCTCTTCCCAGGGATTTATCCTTTAGCAGGTAGGAGAAACACTTTGGTGAGGGCAGGGGACCATTGGGTTAAGGATGGAGTCAGGGCGAGGGATGCGGGGAGGAGAGAAAGAATCCTCTCCCACACTGCCCTGATGAGGGAAATGGTCCCTGCTTTTTATCTTACGGGCTCTGAGAGTTTCAGCAGTCAGAAATGTCTGAAGTCACAGCATAAGAGATGTCACCTGAGATATATATGTATGCATATAATTCAAACCTTAAAAAAAATAAGAGATGCCAACTGAGTATACTAACCTTAGGTACCCCGCTTTATGTATATATGTAATTTGTTTTGTTTTTGTTGTGCTGAGAATTCAACCCAAAGTCTCATGCATGCTGGGCAAGTGTTCTACTAAGCCACATCCCTAGCCCTGTAATTTGACATTTTTGTTTTTGTTTTTTTGAGACAGTGTCTTACTATGTTGCCCAAACTGTCCTCAAACTCCTAGGTTCAAGCAATCTTCTACCTCAGTCTCTGGAGTCACTGGGACTACAGATAAACACCAGTGCACCCAGATTATTTGTAGAATTTTTATGGTTTGTAAAATTTACTCTTTTGTAAGGCATAACTTATACAGACAGGGTCAATCAAATGCACAAATCGTGGCTTTGACCTTAGATAAAAATCTGCCACCCCACATCCCTCTGTGTTCCTTGCTAGTTTTTAAGCTATGTCTAACCAATAAAACCCCTAGAGGTGATGGTACTGAAGGGAGGAAGAAAAAGCTGTCCATCTGGGCCAGACATACCAGGAGACTCGCAAAAGACAGCCCCACATCAAAAGTAACCAGATACTGGGCTGCAATTGTAGATCAGTGGTAAAGCACTTGCCTAGCATATGTGAGACACTGGGTTTGATAATCAACACCACATAAAAATAAATAAATAAAGGTATTTAAAAAAAAAAAAAAAGTAGGTACTACCCAAGGGTATTTAGGGCCTGCTGGTTAGAAGGCTCTGCTCCCCCACTCCTTTCCTGCATCACCCTGGAAGGCAGGTACTCAGAAGAGCAGGCAGGCCCTACACTCCAAGCAGGCCCTTACCGGTCTCCAGACTGGGTGATGAGACGGCGGCAGGTCTCCATCTGCACATCCAGGCCCCGCTTCATGCTGCACATCTCCATGTACTCATGCAGGTGCCGGTTCATGTCGTTCTTCGCTGTGGCCAACTCCAGCTGTGATGGGGCAGGACAGGGCCACCAGAGTTAGCAGGCCCAGGGCAATAGTACCTCTGCTCCCTTGATCAGGAGGCTAACATGCCAAGAGCACCAGCTGGACCAGGGATCCAGGAAGCCATGGTTGAAGGCTCAGATTTAAAAAGAAATCAGATGGGGCTGTAGCTGTAGCGCAGTGGCAGAGCGCTTGCCTGGCATACATGAGGCACTGGGTTCAATCCTCAGCACCACATAAAAACAAATAAAATAAAGGCATTCTTCCATCTACAACTACAAAAAAAATTTTTTTTAAAGACAGAGAATGATTCAATCACTTTTAAAAAATTAAAAATCAGATGGAGACAGAAAGCACCAAACTATACAATAGTTTCCTCAGAACTTTTTTCTTTTTTTTTTTTTTTCCATGGTGCAGGAGATGGAACCCAGGGCCTCACACACAAATGCTAGGCAAGTGCTCTTATCACCAAACAGTATTCCACCCACCCCCACCAAACAATCCTTTTCTCAGGAATCTCTGCTTACAGAAAAACACAAGGGTATCTGTTGTAGGCCTACGTTCTTCTTCTTTTTTTTTTTTTTTTAGTTGTTGATGAACTTTATTTTATTCATTTGTTTATATGCAGTGCTGAGAATCAAACCCAGTGCCTCACACATGTGAAGCAAGCACTCTACCACTGAGCCACAACCTCAGCCAGGCCTCCATGCTTTTAAAAGATAGACATGAGCAAAGAGAAAAGGAATGTCAACATGGGCAGGAATGGAGATCAACATTCTAAACTTCTTGGGGCAGCCACCTGTGAATGCCCTTGTTCCCTCCCTGGGGTTCCCACAGGGCTCAGCTCATCCCACATTTCCTGTGTGATGCTGGCTCTAGCCAACCTCCCTTACTAACTTGTAGCTCCTTTGAGGGCTTTCAAGGGTCTTACTCATGTCTGTGTGTCCAGCACTCCCTCAATGAGAATTAATCAACTCAGTGAAGTATCTGTAAGATTCACAACAAATAGGAGGAAAACCTGACTGTTCTATTTATTCAAAGAGTCTCAATTCTCTTACCATTTTCTCCTCCTTACTTTATTTCTCGCTTATAAGTCATTTCCAGACACTGAAAAGAAAGACTGCCACACTGAATGTCCTACCAATTATAAGATATAACCTGACTTCAGAATCATTCTATGTGGGAAAATGAGAGGCTTGGAATCAAGGGAAGATGGTCTTCTTCCCAGAACTCAAATCTGCAGACAGAATCTGACTGTGAGACAGAGTGAGAGGTGGGGCCAAGCAGAGAAGGATCTGGGCCAGAGACAATCTGGCTGCCTTTGTTTGGGGTACAAAGGCCAGGGGGCCAGAAGGGGACAAGAATCAAACTTCTTGGAGGTGATTGGCTTGACTGTTGGAGAGCAAAGAGAAAGAGAAGGAAAGGGCCCGTGAAGAATGTGATTTGCACAGAGCAGAAGCCACCCATACTAATCTGAGTTGGATGAAAAGAGGATGAGAACTGGAAGAAAGGAGGAAATGGGTCATAGGGCCAGACAAAAGGGACAGCAGAGAGTGCCATCTGGGGTGAGATGGTGGCTGGTGGATTGGAAGCCCTAGTGAGGATGGCATGAAAGGCACAGTACCAAGAGGAGCAAGATGTACTAACTATTCCACCTAGGAGGAAAACATGATGCTGAAACTCTCCTTCAGATCAGCTGCCACCTCTACCCAGCCCTTCCTCCTCAGGAAGCCGAGGCAGAGGCTAAAATCCATCACAGGAAAGGGAGGGAAGAAGGAAGGGAAGGGAACAAGGAAGAAGGAGGTAAAACAAAAATATTCTACCAAAATACAAGTCTAGTACTGCTAGAAGTAGTTTCTACATTTTTGTATGTCCCTCGGCAACTAAAAATAATAAATAAATAAATAAATATCAATCTCCAGAATAGGTGTGGGTGACCAGAGGCAGGGTGGTAGGGGTGGTAAGGATGAGACAGATGGAGAAAGCCAGAGGGTACAGAAGAAAAAACTCCCTCCTACCTACCATCCTGGGCCCTGGCTTTACCATCAAATAATGAAACTGGCCCTGAGATCAAAGGTTGCAAAGATAAAGGCACTTCAGAAGCTCTAGGTGGATCACCAGGGGCAACGTTGCAACCAAAGCCACCATGTCAGCTTCCCCAGACTTGCCCCTCCTGTCCTTCTGCTGTAAGATGACTCAGGAACAGCTTAAAAGGCATGCTTCTCTTGAGGATATTCTTCTCTTTCTTACTAGGTCATATTTTCAACTAGACACTTCTGGTTAAGTGTCCCGCCAAACAGATGGCAGCTGCAGATCACTGCAATAAGACCCCTGCCTGGTTGGATATGCTGAAGCCTATCATCCAAAAGAGGTAGGGAGAGAAGGAAGAAATAACAAGGCATACTCAGAAGAGTGGAGATCAGTTCTCCCCACCATGGCCTTAGCTAGTAGCAAAACTCTGGCTGTGACTTTCAAGCAGCATTTTTCTGCCTAGGCCAAAAACAAAAGCTGAAAAAAACATTTTTTTTTACTTCAAGAATCAGGACTGTTTGATGTGTAGTGAGAGAATGAGGATGTAGGAAAAGAATTTCTCAACTTCCTTCTCAAAATGCAGGCAGAGTGAGCACAACAGGAATGACATGCTACAAGGACTTGAAGAGAGGTTGAGCTGGAAGTCTACCTGTTTTGCCTCACCGCAGTATCCAGGCAAGGGCCATTACACACTTAGACAGGACGCTCGTGGGAGTCCCATCCAATCATTCTTCTCTACAGAATGGCAACCTCCATCCTGTGGCACCACAATCCATCTTGAAACTTGGAATCTTACTTAAAGCACCAGCTTCAACAACCATCTCTACAGGGGTCCCCAGGGCTATGGAATGATGGAGGAGGAGGCAGAAGGGCCATCCCTGAGTGCTGCGGCATTGACAGTGCTGATGATAACCAAATCAAACAAAGGCCATTGTGGTGTCCTCAGGACAGCAGATCCTGCCCTGAGTTCCATGTGTGGATTAACTGCTTCATTTATTCTACCAAACCACCCTGTGGGGGTGGGATTATTTGGATCCCCATTTGACAAGGAAAACAGGCTCAAAGAGAACAAGTATCTTGTTCAAAGTTGAGTGGTTAAAAAGTGATAGAGCCAAGGTTTGAACCCACATGTCCGCCTCCAGAGCATGAGATCTCAAGGACCCACCAGAGGTACCACAGCCAAGAGATAACAGAAAGTGAAGTTTCTGGACTCTAAGGCCCACATTGAGGGACCCCCCCACACACCTGCAGCCCTGCAAATCCCTGGAGCACAGGCCCTGCATGTCCTTACCTCTATCTGGTCAATGGTTTCCTGATATTCTTTTTCCCGTGTTTTAAACAAGGACTCAGTATCTTTAATCACCTTCTCCAGGCTGTCTTCCTGCTGCTGGAGGAAAAGGGGAAGCAAGGGGAGGCCAAACAGGTAAGGACGGGATGAAGAGCATTCCACAGGGTCAAGGCAGGGAGAGAGAGAAAGTCAGGTTAGAGGAAACTGGAAAGAGGAAAGAAAAGGATAAAGGAAGAGGGGAGACACAGGGAAAGGATGAAGGCCACAAAGGGAGTAGAGCGAGGAATGAGGAAAGGAAGAGGCAGGGCATCAGGCTGGAAAGGTACAGCTGAGGGGCCCTGAGGCCGGGAGGGGTGGTTACCTCTCCCTGGGCCTCTGCGGCTGCCATGGCATAGCCTGAGAAATCCTCCCACAGCAGCAGGGTCTCCTCAGTCTCCTCCCAAGTCAGGCTGTCACAGTCGTCCTCAAAATCATACTCCCTCCTAGAGACAGGGAACCCGTGTGTCAAGGGCAGTGGGGCCTTGTCCAGAAAAGGAGACTGTGGGGAGCTCCGGCCTCAGGATGGTTCTGGTGTGGGGGCAAGGATAAGGACAGGCCTGCAGGACTCACAGCTGGTTGAGCATGCGCTGCATCTCCTCGTTGATGCTGAGGGCTGTGCTTTCCTCCTCATCCCCATCGGGCTGGCGGGGCCCATCACTCTCCAACAGGGAGGTGTCCTCCTCGACAGCAGCCTTGCGCTCCCGCTTCCGCCCCCCCATGGATGGGACCTTAATGGGAGACAAGTGCAGAGACTACAGAGACGAGGCCGGGTGCATGAGGAGAAAGGGCAGGAGGGGGAGGCCAGGCAGCGGGCAGCGGGTGGGACAGGAGGAGCAGCATGAACCAGCAGGAAAGGAAGGGTGGGGCAGACAGAGAGAAAAGACACAGTTACAATGACAGGAACAGAAACAGAGAGTCGCCAAGAGACAGGCAGACACACACAGATGGGGCAAGCCTGAAGACTGAGAAGGAAAAAGAAGAAATAGAGAAAATAGAGCAGTAAGATAAGGACAGAAATGTGTCTAATGGCTAAAGAGGAACTATTTTTTTTTTCTAAAAACTAAAAACTTCCTGATGAAATGACTCAAATAAAAAAAAAGTTTTGGTCTGGGGGCGGGGTATATGGGTGTAATCCCCAGTACTACAAAATAAACAAATAAAAATAAAGATTTAAGCTGCAAGGAGGATGAGGATTTAGTATTTACAAAGGAGAACTTGACTTGCATCCAGATCTAGAAGGCCAGTGGGAAAAAGGAGAGAAAGAAATGAAGTAAAGAGAAAAAGAGATTGAAAACGAGAAGAGCAAGGAAAACAGAAAGGGAAGAAGAAATCTGTGCTGAAGAGCCTATTAGGTCAAAATCAATGGCCAAAGGACCTGTGTGGTTCAGAGACTGGGACTGGGACATTAATAAACTTGCATGAAAGCAAACTAACCAGCTTCTTCTATGGAGAAAGCAAGAAAGAAGATGAAAGGAAGAGAGAGGAGAGAAGCAGACAGAGGAGAGAGAGAGGGAGGGGGGAGATGGCGTTAGAGACAGCTTCCAAAACCTCTCCTGAGGCTGTCCCTTGCCCCCCAGCTTAGTCCCACTGAGGGCCCTGGTACTAGGACAAGGCTCCCCAGGAAAGGGGCAGAGCCTGAGCTACAGGCCAGCCACAATGGAAGCTCCTTCATCTGCCCGCCCCATCCTACTGGCTGATGATAGCCTGGCCCCTCACCTGGAACATCTGAATCATGTCCTCACAGTTGCGCTGCTGAGCCACATCACACAGTTTGGCGGTGATGTCAATGCGGCGGCAGATGTCCATATCTACCTTCATGGCCTTTTCCTGGATTTTGGTGTCCAGCTCTGACAGGTTCTGTCCAGAGAACATAAAGAACAGTGAGGAGGTAGCAAGTACCCCTAGTGGCTTGGCAAAAGCCTCACCCTTCTCATCATACCTTGTCCATGAAGTTCTTAACCCCTGGGCAGAACACTCTTTTCCAGGGGGCCCCTCCTCATAGCATACACTGGGACCACCATGTGACTGGCTCTCTGGTCAAATGAGCTCTCTGAAGGGCATGGCCCAGAGTCTGGTACAGACAGGGATTCCCTGAAACCAATCATAGTCCTAACCCTCCTGGAACTTACATTACCAGAGGGAAAGGAGACCACTGGGAATTATAAGTAAAGAAGGTGCCAAGCATGGTGGCACACACCTGCAATCCCAGGAGGCCTAGGCAAGAGAACCACAAGTTTGACCGGCTGAGGATATAGCTCAGTGGTAGAGCACTTGCCAGGCATATACAGGGCCATGGGTTCAAATAAGTTTGAGGCCAGCCTGGGCAACTTAGCAAGACCCATCTCAAAATAAAAACAAAAAGGGCTAAGATGTAACTCAGTGGTAGAACACTTGAATAACATGTACAAGATCCTGGGTTCAATCATTAATACTGAAAAAATAAATAAAGAAATAAAGGGTGGAGTGGAGAAAGTACTGTAATAACAGCTATGCTCATTTAGCATTTAAGCATGTGCCAGATACTGTTCCAAATACACTGAAATCTTTATGATAATCCTGCAAAGCACACACCTTTATTTTCTCCATTCCACGGATGAGGCTATGGAGGCTGAGGAGGACTTGGAGGTAAAGGAACTGACTCACAGACATACCACTGGAAAGCTGTACAGCCAGCATCAGAACCCAGACAAGCTGGCTCCAGAGGCTGTGCTCACACTTACTACCAACAAACTCCAGAAATGACCAGGCCATCCTGCCTCTCTGACAGGATGTAAGGCTTTTGTTCCTTCTTTGTATCTTTGTATCTAATTAGAGGGTATCAAGGCCCGGGAAAGCCAGAGGGACAGCAAAGTGAGGGGAGGAATGGCAGACGGGGCAGCAACAGGCCAGTAAGGTCACCCTTCCTGGTTCCAGCTGCCTGAGTATCCCAGCAGGGCCCAAATGTGACAGGCTGAACTCACATTACTCATGAGCCCCTTGAAAACGACCAACTCAGCTTTCAACTGTTCCACCTTCATGGCTAGCTCCTCTTGGCAGGCATCAGCCTCTTGGGCTTCCTATGGAAGAGAGGAAACACTGAATATTAGTGTACTGCCAATAAGAGAAAAGGGTAAAGACAATAAGAAGGGACAAGGAAATGGCACCAGGTTGAGGGAAGCAGTAGCAGTTGGGTAGCCACCCTCACCTCCTGGAGCTCAGAAACTCGCTCCTGCAGCTGTATCCGCACTGTGTATTCCTCTTCCCACCTGACAGATATTGGGAAGAGACAGAAAACGTAGGTTCAGAGTCCCTCCTGCCCCTACAGTTCCCTCTCCCAGCCTCTCTGGCTCAGACCCCAGGTCTGGACCCCTACATGGGGATTTACAGGAATGTGTAGCCAGTCAGTTGGTGGCCAGCTGCAGCTGTCAGGCAGCTCCACATTTCCTTGGCAAGGACCAAGCTCACCAGCTGCCTTCCCAGAACCTCCAGGCCGCACACCAGAAACTATGGTTAAGAGTATCTGCCCCTGCTCTGACTCCTTGCAGGGCGATCCCCAGGGGGCCCCAGCTCCCCCAGCTGTCTGGCCAGCCTCATCACCCACCTCCTGCCCACACCAGACAACCAGGCCCACCCAGCCCTGTCTCCCACCTTCAGTGGCACAGATCCGGTCTCCTGCCTCCTGCCCGCACCAGAACAGAGCTCGTCTAGCCCGCTGCCCTGCCTCCTGTGGGACCATTTAACCCTGTGAAAGCATCTGCAGGACACAGGCTATATCAACAGAGCTGCTCAGGAGCCTGGTGGGAGACACTCAAGTTCTTCCCCCACCCAAAACCCCTGGAAGGAAGCCACAGAGAGATGACAGGGCTGGCCCTGAAGCTCAAAGTCCCCCAGTAGCACACAAGCAGTGGATGTGAGAAGTCAATGATTACCATACACCCAAACTTGTACCTCGGCAGTGGGGGGATGAAAGCCAGAAGTAGCACCTCTCATTACCCAGAAGTCAGAGGAAGACCATAAGGAGGGTGGAAGACACTCCTGGCCACAGGGCAGGGCATGAAGGCACTTCCCAGGACTACATGTCTTATTCCATCACAGAGACAGAAGTGGAATGGAGGCCAGTACTAGGATTTGGCCCTGTCAGTTCAAAACCCCACAGAATTGGTTGGAATACCAACATATCTCAAATCCTGTTCATATAAACTCATTACTTCTTGACACAATCTGAAAAGCCTTCTTTTAGTCTGAGAAAGGTGGCAAACTGCACTGAGAAAAACCTCAACATAAGAAAGGAGGTAATGAGCTGGGGTTGTAGTTCAGTGGTAGAGAGCCTGCCTGGCACGTGTGAGGCACTGGGTTCAATTCTCAGGACCACATATAAATAAATAAAATAAAGGTCCATCATCAACTAAAAATATATTTAAAAAAAAAAGAAGAAGAAGAAAAGAAGAAGGTGAGGAAGCAGCCAAGAGGACAGCAAGGACACTGAAATCCCAGAGAACTATTTCTGTAGTCAGGAGTGAGCCCTTCCTATCCCTTCCCTCCATCGTTTCTGCTTTCTTGCCCTCTCTGGTCCCGTGTCTCCTTGCTTGCCTGTGTTCCACATCATCGCCGCACTGCAGTATGCCTAATAATAACTCCTGCATCACCTCGGCTGCCCCTCCCAGTTGAGTTGGCAGAATAGGCAGTCAGCCTGGCCACCACCCTGCTGGTTCACCATGCAGCCCAGCTCCTGGCTTTCCTCGCTAGCCCCTCACATGTCCTTCTCCTTTTGCTCTGGCATTGAAGAGCCCTGATAACATCAGGCTATTTATTTTCTTATATAAGACCCTTATCTTTTCTGGATTCTTCATTTGCAACATGAAGGCATGGGAGATAGCACCCTTATGTGCCTGGCATCCATGAATCCCTAGAGAAAGCTAGCAAGATTTACAGGGACCAGCAACCCTGGACAGAATATATCAAGGAGGACAAAATGTACTGTTTGACAGTGAATCCAAAAAACTCAGGTGGAAACAAGTAAAGAAGTTAATTAAAGGTGAAGATTAGGGGCTGGGGCTGCAGCTCAGTGGTGGAGCGTTTGCCTACCATATGTGAGGCACTAAGTTCGATCCTTAGCACCACATAAAAATAAATAAATTAATAAACAAAAAAAGATGAAGATTAATGAAGTCTTAAAGGGTAAGAAGTCTGAAAAATGAATCATCTAGAAGCTTGCTAGGATTCTATTTGCTTTTGAGCCAGACTTTTTGACCTCCATTCAAATATCTTTTACAAGCTTCTCTTACTGTGGGTAGGATCGGAGCAATTTTTGTGTATTCTGCATTTATCACATATTTCTCCTACAAATAGACTGTAGCCTTGATCTGAAGCAGGGGGCATTCCTGTATTGGAAAAACTGAGGCCCAAGAGAAAGATCAAATAAGGCAGGGGAACTGAAAATAGAGCCCAGGAGGCCTTGGCTTCATCCCAGTTTAATACTAAAGCTATCCCCATGCCTTCTGCACTAAAGACAGGAGGTATAGTGTTGCTATAAAGAGACCAGAATGAGGGCAGGGGATCTGGGGTGGAAGAATGAGTACTGCCCATGTCACGTACCATACAATTCCAGCTATGAGGCCCTCTGCACAACAACACGCTGCAAAATGATGAGCTAATCAATCCCCAAGGTATAACTCTTTGCTGCCCTGGACAGCTGGACCAAGGACAAATACTTTTTCAGTTATAAAAAAAAAAAATACGCCCCTGAGAAGAGCAGTTGTTCTGTGGTTATGGATGTAATCCAGAACTGTCCATGTTCCACTGATGGGTGACTGTGTTAATTAACTCCTACAAGGGCAGGGGCAGGCTTGTTCTGGGTGGCACCTGGATGATGGGTTTAGGACAACTGAAACCCCCAAGGACAATAATAACATGAACAACAACTAATGAAGCCAACATGAAGCAGGACAACCTCAGAAAGTCTGCTGATCTGTGATATGGTAGACTCCAGCAAGTTCCCAGTCCCTGAAAGTCAGTCCCAGACCCAAAGGTAATTTCCCAGAACATTCAGCCACTCCTTACCCAGACCTAAACCATATGTCAATTCCTGCTACACTGGGCAACAAAGGTAGTCCCCCAACCTGCCCACAAGGAGCCCCAATAGCTCAGAAGGGAGTGGAGTCCCCAACCAAGGCCTCTTTCTGACCCTAGTATCTTTCTTCCTCAACCAAAGTACTGGCTCAGCCTATGCTCCTGTTGCATCAGCCTGGTTACCAACCATCTAAGGAATCCAACTAGTATACAGCCAACACTGTGGCATCACCTCCCTTCCCCTCATCCCTGTGCTACCCTACTGGGGCAGGGTTCCTCTCAGAAAGCCAAATCTTCATCTTCAGAACACACTAGGCGTGCCCTGAGTTGTCTTAACAGCTGTAGGGTGTGTCCATATTCTAACTTTTCCTTACTCAGTCCCTTTGCTTACTCTGCTCATACTTCCTTCACCAGAGTTCACCACCAGCCCTATGGCAACTACCAATCCCTTGCCCTAACCTTATGGAATTCCCTTTACTCTTCCTTTTCCCATTTTTTTTTTAACCTGCTCCAAGCAATGCCTTGGGGTCTTAGGAACCTTTTGTATGGAACCTGGTTTCCATGAACATTCCTTGGGGAAACCCTGGATAGTAACAGGATCACCAATGAAGGGTGCAGACCTTCCCTCAGTGAGCCTCTGCCCTTCCAATTTCACTTAAATTAACCTACCAATTTAAAGCTATATTCTTTGCCTCCTACTTTTGATCAGTGGGTGGAATTTATCTTCCAACTCAAGGACTGAAGATTGTAAGGCAATCAGACCCCACATGCAATACCCTCTCAAATGGTGCCCGGTAGTATCTCAAAAACCTTTATAATTAACACAGTCATCTGAACCAACTGTAGCCTGCATGAGACAGGGAGATATGCCAGGAGAAAAATATGAATTTTCCAGTGTTCTGTTCCTAGTATGCTTCTTGTCACGAGTCTGACTTCTGCATTCTCTGTGGATTCTAGGCTCACTGAATCCAATTCCTTCCAAAGCTCCTCATTACAAGACAATAAACTACTGTTATGCTATTCACAGTGATTCTTGGGCCTCCATTGCCCTGGTCTGGGAACCCACAATTCACATACCCCTTGTAAGTGTCATGACACTGAGCCCTATCCCCACCTTCCCGGTCCCTACCTCCTCTTGTACTCATCCCGCTCCCGCTTCACTTTGGCCAACACGTTGTAGAGTGCGCGGATCTCCGGGGTGATGGTGTCGATCTGGACGCCCACCCCATCAGGGTGCACCCACGACAGGCCAGGCCCTTGCACCAGCGTGGGCTCCAGTCCTGGCCCCAGCCGGCGGGCGTGCGAGAAGGACCAGATTGTGCCGGGCATGAAGCGGGCTGACGAGGAGAAGGCAGTGGAGGTGGAGGTGGAGGGCGACAAGTGGCAGGCCGAGGAGGGCGCGAGGGGACCGGCTGGTGAGCGCGCGGGCGAGCCCAGCACTCGCGCCGACGGGGGGCAGACCGCGGCCGGCCGGGCGCCCAGGGGCAGACCCAGAGGCCGGATGGGACTGATGAAGCCAGTTTGTACGGCCTGGTCGCGGCGAGCCAGGCCCCGACGGCCCTGCTTACCCTCCTCCAACGCCTGCTGCAGCTGCTTCTCCAGCAGCCGGTTCCGGCGCTCCAGCTCATGCACCTTGGCCAGGAAACATCGGAACCGGAGGTTCAGGGTCTTGAGCACGTTGATGTTGGAGCCCAAGTCGTTGCGGAGTGCCATGGCGGCGGGGGGTGACGGGCCCGGGGCAGGGCCCGGCGGCGAGTAGGCTGAGGGGCCAGCGGGGGCAAGCGGCGCTGTGGGCAAGTCCCCTCCCCCGGTGAAGTGGTCACTTCCAAGGGGATCCCCCAGGGGCCCAGCCAGGCCCTGCTGCTCCTGCTGTAGAAGGAAGAGGTTGGGGCCGAATAACGGATTCATGGCTGCGCCTTCTGCTGGGAGATGGAAACCTGTGCAGGGGCTGGGATGGAGAGCGAGCGAGAAGAGCCAATGAAGCGCCTGCGGAACACAGGCGACCAATCAGACGGCACGGCAAGGGAGCAGAGGTCGAGGGGGCGGGCACAAAAGAAGCCAATGAATGCCTCACACTGGAAGATGAGCCCGAGGACCATTCCGGGTCTGAAGCTTGTGGACCAGCTCTTCCCTCACTGAAATTCAGGCAGGAGGTGCTTAGAGCTCAGGATAGTCAATATTTCCTGAGTTCTGGTGGCAGGAAGTACATCTTTCCTACAACCCTGTTGCTCTCCTCTCCTCAAATACCCTAGTTCTTGACTCCAAAGCTCTCCTTCCCTGTTAGGATGAAAAGAGCAGGATCCCAAAACTGACCTGGTATCTTAACTAATCTCTACAAACTGTTTTTTTCCCTTTGGATCCCAGACCCAGCCTCCCTCCAGCTGCCATAACCAGTCCCCTCAAAAACACACACACAAAAAAAGCAACCGGAGTCAGAGGTGGTAAAATGTATATTAAATTTCACGTGTATGGACAAAAATGGCACAATGTGCAAGCATCCTTGTAGACAAACAGTTCCAACCACTGGCAATGCCAGTGAGCCAAGCCCAGTCCAGTCTTCAACATCCACCTAAGCCAGCAGTGGCTGGCTATTGCCCTTAGGCAGTTTTCCTCTTCTTTGCTGGTGGGGGCTGGACAGAATTGAGGGGAGTCACAGTGGGGATCTGAGATCCCTTGGGGGTGCCATTCTCCTTCTGAAAGGTAGCTTTCTTGAAAGGCTGCTTTACCGTCTCAGCCCCTTTTACTTTTCCAAGGGGCTGATCAGTGTCCTTAAGCCTGGGAGTAGCCTGAGTCTGAGAAAGGGACAGCGCAACAGGTGATTCGGTGTCCATGCTTTTGGGAGGGGCATTCTGCTTCAGGAAGGCAGCTTTCTTAGAGGAGTGCAATTTAGGTGCCTGTTGCCTTAGCCTCCCAATCACCTTTGGTTTCCTGATCACTTCAACTTTTCCAGCAGGCTGAGTACTATCTGGGAGCCTGGAGGAAGCTTGGGCCTTTGTGACAGAAGATACAGTGGACACTTCTGAGACTGTGCCTTTGGTGATGCCATTCAGCTTCTGTACAGAGGCATTCTTGGGATGCTGCCGTTTCTGGAACTGCTTTGCCTTTGCAGCCCTTTTGGCTTTCTTGGCTGGTTGGCTGTTGTTCTCAGACTTGGGAGTGACCTGACCCTTTGGGTCAGGCAAGTCTAGGTCTGTAGGAGTGGCTGTTGCAGAATTTCCTGGGGTTAAATTAAACAGACAGGTTGAGAAAATGGGCCTCATCTTAAATGATATTGGTCATTTAAGAAGTAAAGAGTAGGGCTGGGATTGTGGCTCAGAGTAGAGCACTCGCCTCGCATGGGCGGGACGTGGGTTCGATCCTCAAAACCACATAAAAATAAAGGCATTGTGTTGTGTCTATCTACACCTAAAAAAAATATTTAAAAAAAAGAAAGAAAGAAGTAAAGAGTAGAGATGGGCATGGTGGCACATGCCTGTTATCTCAGCAGCTCCGGAGGATAAGGCAGGATTGTGAGTTTCATGCCAGCCCAGCAACTTACCCCTAGGCAATTTAGCCAGAGCTCACCTCAAAATTTAGGGGAAAAAAAAAAAGGTCTGGGATTCAGTGGTTGAACCCCTGGTTTCAACCCCTAATGCCAAAAATAAAATAAAAATAAGAACAAGTTATTAAAACATAGAGATTGCCAACTCTTGGTCAATGTGGAGCCACAGTTAGGGATGGTGCCTAAGAACTGACTACTTAGATTCACATCATCCTTACTCAAGTCCTACATGAACCTTGTATTAAGAGAAACCTATCCTAGGGGGTGGGGTTGTGACTCAGTGGTAGAGTGCTCACCTAGCACGTACGAGGCCCTGGGTTCAATCCTCAGCACCACATAAAAATAAATAAATAAATAAATAAAAGTATTGTATCCACCTACAACTAAAAAATAAATAATTTTTAAAAAGGGCTTGGGCTATGGCTCAGCGGTAGCGCACTTGCTGGGAATGTGTGAGGCACTGGGTTCGATTCTCGGCACTGCATAAAAATGAATAAAATAAAGGTACTGTATCCACTTACAACTAAAAAATAAATATTTTTAAAAAGAAAAAGAGAAGCCTATCCTTAGGCTAAAGATTTTTTATAAGAAGCTGTGACCCCTTGAGGACAGCAGGTAACAAGACATCCTGATGTGGTGATGAGTCCCAGGATCTCCAGATTCAGATAAACCAGAAGCCCTAGGCTTTTTTAATCCCAGGAAAAAAAATAATAATAATCAATGTGGATTTTGATGAAATGGCAGAAAATAAGCTACACCCACACAACAAGAAACAAGCTAGTAAGACAGCACAAAGACATATTAAAAATACACTTAAGTTACAACAAAAGTTGTTATTAATGTTTTGGTTTTTTGCAGTATTAGGGCTTGAACCCAAGGACTCTTAACCACTGAGCCACATCCTAGCACTATAACCACCCCTATTTTTCAGTACTGGGGATTGAACCCAGGACCTTGTACATATATATATATATTTATATTATATCTACAAGGCAAGCATTTTACCAACTGAGCTATATATCCCAGTCCTTTTTATTTTTGAGACAGGGTCTCACTAAGCTGTTGAAGGTGGTTTTGAATTTACAATCCTCTGACCAAGCCCTTGGGATTAAAGGTGTGCACCACTGCACCCGGCAACCTTGCTTTTTACTTTGAGGCAGGATTCTCACTAAGTTGCCAAGGCTAGCCTCAAACTCAGGATCTTCCTGTCTCAGCCTTCGAACTCACTGGGAGTACAAGATTGTACCACCATGCCAGGCTATGTTGACATTCTGATGAGAGTTTTGCAAGAGACTTTATTTATTTATTTTTGGTTTGGGCACTGGGAATTGAACCCAGGAGTGCTTAACCACTGAGCCAGATCCCTAGTCTTTTTTATTTTGAGACAGTGTCTCACTAAATTGCTTAGGTCCTCGCTAAATTTCCAAGTCTGGCTTTGAACTTGTGATCCTCCTACCTCAGCCTCCAAATTGCTGGGATTACAGATATGTGCCACCTTGCCTGGCAAGAGGCATTATTTAAAAGGATTAAAAAAAAAAAAAAAAAAGAGGTCTGGGGGTGTAGCGGATATCAATTCAAATCAATTTTTATTCGAAGAAGCTCTTATATCTTCCAAATAAACTCAGGGTTATATCCCAGCATGCAGAGCTCTCAAGCCTGTTTCAAAAATAAAACCCCACCCTTCCCCTTGAGATGCAGGCAGCCTCCTTCAGATGGCTGAGGAAACAATCTGCAATTAGTGGGATAGGCTCAGAGAAATGCTGATAGTTCTGTAGAGTCCTGTGCCAAACCAGTGCTGAGAATGCTAGAGCAGCAGAGATACATTAACACAAGTCAACCTTGGGCCAAGAAAAAAAGAAAAACCACAACCTGAAACTGGAATGCATTAGTGCTGAACCACTGTAGCCACTTGGTAGAATAAAGGAAAAGTTCCCCGTCTATGTGAACACCAAAGCCCATCAAAATGTGGTTCCAAATCCAAGCATGCAAAGACTGAGATAAGCAAGCCTCAATCTTTCCCTTCCCTGCAGTCACACCAGAAGGCTTCCAGAAAGGTAGAAAGAGCAAAAGCAGGAAAGAACTGGACAAAGAACAGATCATTTACCTGTTTGGGACTGAGGGATACAATTGGAGAATTTCTTGAACTTGGCAATAAAGAAACCATCCATATTGTGGGTATGAGGGTAAAATCGTCGGGTGGAACGCAGAGTGGGATGGAAACGCCTTTCTCGAAAACGGGTAAAACCTTCCTGGCCAAAGTCCAGGCCGGTGGGCACAAGCCTCACATTTCTCTTTTTCAGGGCATAGTCTACTACCCACTCATTCTCTTCCACCTGGACGTGTGGGGAAGACAGAAAGTCAGCAAGAAGGAATAAACAGAGCTGGAGCTGAAGGGAGCTCTTAGGGCCATACAAACTCCCAGCCCTTGCCCTCCCTTGCTCTGCCGCAGCAGAGGCCTCACCATAATAGAACAGGTGCAGTAGACGAGGTAGCCTCCTGTCTTAGAAGTGGCATTGACAGAGTCAATAGCACTCAGGAGTAACTCTTTCTGAAGGTGAGCACAGCGTAGGATGTCCTTCTCATCCTGTCCCAAAAAGACCCAGGGTTGAGGGAATTTCATAAGGCTATCAAGAAAAGTGAGATACTACCTGCCTAGGGTGCTCCTTGACATTGTACTCCTCTCTAAAATTACCCAACTTCTCACCTTGTTAGTCTTCACAGCTGGATCCTTAGAGATGACCCCAGTGCCACTACAGGGAGCATCCAGCAATACTCGGTCAAAGCCCCCGACCACCTAGACAAAAGAGGGAGTAAATTAGATGTATTTTGCAACTTGCAGTGTACCATTTATTTCCCAAGGATGGGTCTAAACATTGTCAAGAAGAGGAAGGTAAATTAGAAGCCTCAGGAAAGACACACAGAAGGAGAATCCCACCTTGGGGAACTGGCGTCCATCATAATGGCTAATGATGGTGTTAGTGACTCCCAGCCGGTGCAGGTTACCCACAACACTCTTCAGCCGCACAGCATTGGCATCATTGGCAAGGATCACACCAGTGTTTTTCATCAGTTGGGCTATAAAAGAGAGGACCCCAGTGCTGAGGAGCCAGCTCCTTTGCTTCCACACTTGGTACCCACCCTCCAGACTAGAAACCCACAGGTGAAATATCACTACTTCAAGGCAAACTCCCCTCTCAACAAGAACAGTTCCCAACTGCCTACCAGATAGTTCTACCCAACCTGTACCGGCTTCTGGTGCCGAGGAAGCCTACCAATACAGTTTTCCTCTTTTACTGAACATCTTTCTGTCCCTACAGACTAAATTACTTCTGTTACGTGATATAGCTCAATCTAATGGTTGTGACTGTTTTCCACACACTAAATACTGTGCTGAGGACTTCAAAAT